AACATCTCAATTAATGTGTACCTCACACCCCCCTCTAGACCCAGCTTTGCACTCCAGTTAGCAAGAAGTTCTCTTCCCTCATATTGGATAAGAAAAAGCTTTTCAATGTGTTGGAATCAAAACACTGATTTTATTAAGTCTCTCTGTATTTATTCACTTGGCAAACAAACAACCTATTTAGTGCAGGCTGCTTTCAAGCAGGAACTACATAAGGGTGAGTCTGCAAATTAGAAATGGTTGTTAAATCACTATTGCAGGGAGCATTCTACTCCTTCGTGTGCTGCTTGTTTTCTTCCACAGGCTTCTTGTTCTGTATAACGGACTTCAGTGGCTATAATTGCATTTCTGAGCCTATGAACAATCCCAAACAATTGCAGTTTAATGTTAGTGCGTACAAAGCAAAAAAAAAGAACTTTCTATATTAAATCAGTCAGTAAAATAAACCAAGAGTGAATAACAATGCTGGCAGGTGAACTTGGAAAGAGCTCTAATAGAACTCTTTTCATCCACAGATCTACTCAAGGAGATAACCTGACCCATATGGAGTTGCGAGGGAAAGGATTTTATCTAGGGATTTTAGAATTGTTCAGCTAATTTGTTCCGTTCCTGGAAGAGCACAAAAAGGTGACAGAAATGTTGCTACAAGGACTGCTTCATACTTTTACAAAACATAGGGGATGAATCTCTTCTTCTGATCTAGTAATTTTTCAGCAATTGCTTCTGAGCCATGAAAAGTGAAACATTCATTTAGAGTTGTCAACCACACAGAAATATTCCATGTGGCGCGTTTTTTCACATAGCAATTTTTAAAGGATTAAGTAAGTCCCAAGGAGTAGTTTCTGTAATTTATCCCCATTCACTGGAGATGGTGCTTTTCTTTGAGTACAACAGCAAATTTCTTGTAAGAGAGTAGTATTTCTTTATCAGATTCTTGTGTCCAGTTTTATGACAATGGAATATATGCCAGGACATAATGTATGTTTGCAGGCACAGCTAAAGAAAATGGAATGAGTTTGCTGTAAAACTCCATGAGCTTGGCTTGCAGCTGAAGGTCGGGAAGCAAGAAGGATGGGAGCAGTCACTGTTACTCCTGGAAAGTGCTTCTAATTTCAGCAGCAGAGGATGGATGGCCCACACCCTCTCTTGCCACACCAGCTAGTTTGGCTTTCTAAAACTCGGGCATAGCAAAGCAGACAAAGAGGCTGTCTTTTTCTGCTTGTCCCGGCAATCTGCCAATGCCCTAGTTACGTGCCTACAACTTGTGCTGGCTCATAACCATGTGAGGAAGGCTGCTCCTGAGGGTTTTTAATTGATTAATGCAGCTCTTGATTCTTAGGACAAGAGAAGCAAGGTATAAAGCTTTAGGTCTCAGGAAGGGAAATAAATAAATTAGAAAATATTTTGGTTCGGCTTCATAATTAAATTCTTATTTGTTTCAAGGCTTCACAAGATGATGTGGACCTGAAAACTGTTATTACCACCGAATTATATGTATGAGGCAGAAGATTCAGAAACTGAAGTCACATTATTAGCTTTATTGCTCCAGTAATGGAATAAAAACATAAACCAACAAATAGCTGTCTAAGGTATTTCAAAGAAGCCATCAGTGAAATGCTGAAAGAGAAAAAGCAATGTTTATATCCAGTCATTACCCAAAACAAAGAGAATTTCTCATGAGCAATGTATGAGAAGGTAGGAGCATTACACAAACTGATTTTCTCATGCCTTAGGCTGTGAATTTACTTTAAGGGGGCGTGTTGGTCAGTAATGATAGAAAACTATAGGGTGGCAGATACTTTAAGATTATTAAAAATCAGTTTTGCAACGGTGTAAAACAAACAAAAAACTGCACTCTTGATCTCTGAGGAGAATCACATCTGACAGTCTTCTAAATGCAGAGTTCACATGTGGTTTGTGACTTCCTTGTTTGAAAGCCTAGGGAGCTCTCTTCCTAAATTTGGCAATTAACACTGTATGCTGCCATAATCATAGAATCACTTAGGTTGGAAAAGGCCTTTAATATCATTGAGTCTAACCATTAACTCAGCTCTGCCAAGTCCACTACTAAACCATGTCCCTAAGCAGTGCATTTACATATCTTTTAAATACCTTCAGGGATGGGGACTCAACCAGCTTCCACAGCTGCTCCTCATAGGACTTGTGCTCTAGACCCTTTAACAGTTTCGCTGCTATTCTTTGGACACATAATATGTAGCATGTTAGTCTGAAACAAATAGAAAAAGTGCTTTTTCCCTTGAAATAAAATGTTTGTCACAAAAATGGCCTAGAAACTTAATTTAATTTAACTGTCCTAACTCATGCTGGCCTAGAGGGCCCCAAATTCTGTAGACAGCTCTGCCTGCATTGCCAGTTCTCACAGTTGACCCTGAGGAGAAGAGGTGGACATAAAGATAGGAGCTCTTTGGGAGCAGAAACTGAAGAAGGGGTCTTAGTCAACATGGATGAAAAGTCTCAGGAAGAAAGTGTCCAAGAAGATTGATGAAGTGATGAGTTGAGCTAAAGGGCATCACAACAATCTGTTGACATCACTACAAATAGTGAAAAAGGTAATGAAAGCTCAGGATGGAGAGGAGAAGCCCTTTGTTTACTGGACCTTGCAAAGAATGCACAGAAACGAGGGGTGGATCTTGTTCCTATGAACTGGCAAAGTACCATGCAAGAAAGCAGACATCTTATTGCAGCCACCAGTGTCTTTTACCTCCATTTTTTTACATTGAGATTTCTCTTTGTTTCACTCTTTGCTGTCTCTTCAGAGGATATTTTGAGGTCTTTTGATATTCTAGCATCCAAAGCTGTATGAGCATTACACAAGGAGCAGATGCAGTTCTGTGGTCTCTTGGGATGTATAATCATTCATCCCCTTTGCTGATGTTGTTGCTGTCACTTATAGGGAAATGGGGCAGTATCTGCTGTGTATCCTGTGTAAATGTGATACCATAAATGCATTGCAGAAATGTGGCTGTAACAAACACTTTATTCATATCCATAATATTTTAGTTTCTAGAAACTCACTGATGATCATAGCAACTAGTATTCATATATGAATCTGCCAATATTAGTCATTGTTTTTTAACTCCATATATTCAAGCTCAGTGGACAGTTGGGGGTAGATTCTGTCCAAGCAAAACAAATCAATACAGTTAGTTACACTAAATGCATTTGAACAAAGATACTTGTAGGGGGAGAAGAAAAAGGTGCTGCAGCAAAGAAAATGATGGAGAGATATGTGTTCCACAGGCTTGGCAAAGGTTGGGAAAATGGCACCTGGTTAAATCTATACCTTGGGAGCGGGATTGTGAATGAGATGAAGGGAACTATAAAAAGGAGGACAGGGCTGAGGAGAAAACTGAAGAAAAGCCAAAGAGGTAGGCTTAGGAAAAAAAGAATATAAAATAGTGGATCAAAGATGGGTCCCCTGGGTTGAAGCAGAGGAACCAATGAAACCAGTTACCATGCCACAGACACTGGGCAGGCCTGGAGGGGAACCTTACCCATAGTCTGATTTAGAAGCAATGTTTTGGACTTTGAAGCAGTTAGGGGATTTTATAGCCCATATCACTTATGCTGCTATAATGGTTTTAGCATGGCAGTAAATGTCACAAGAAGAGAAGCTTGTTCAAGAGCCCAGCTCTTGGAAATGTTGCAGAAAGAAAAAAAATCTTGTATGTCTGTTTTTATAGAAGCAGATGGTACACAAGCCAGGGTTTGCTTTCTTTGCAAGCATTACATTTTAATCACTTGTGTAGGACTGGTTGACATTTTATTTTCTATTTCAAAATGTTCATCTTTGATTGTATAAGAATAATATGCTTTTCTGTGGGGTAAGCAATCCAGCTAACTTGTCACTTTAAATGGACACCTGACCTGAGCAGATTGAGGTGACTGACCATACAGTCGGTTAAACTAAGTGCCCTAAAACAAATACATTTGAATGGGAGAAGAAATAGAATGGAACTCAGGAATGCAAATGATACAGAAAAAAAAAAAAAGAATTTATATGCAACTGTGAATCAGGAGCAATGGAAGGCTTTGTCTTCACGTGCTAGAAATAGCTGAGCTGATTCCCCAAGATCATCATTAAACCAGCTTTTAATAACGTGTTGTCATCAAAATGATGACAACCCCCAAAATGACAACCCTCCACCCCCAAAATGAGTAGATTATGAAAGGATGCTTACAGATGGTTCACAAGGCTGCAGCTGGTTTCTTATTCTTTCTTTATTCAAAAACCAAAGATACTGTTCATTAAGATTCATCAAGGTCATTATGAGAAAAGGAATCAAAAGGTTTTTACATTATGTAAATCTGAATTCTTGAACAATGAGCAAATGGTGGCAAAGCAGTTGAAGTATCTCACTGTGATTCCAGAGCTCATGTCCCTGGTAAACCCATCCTGCAGGCTGTAGGATGATCCTTGGCTGCAGCTGATCACACAGGTTGGACAGGGCAGGATCTGTGACACTGCTTTTACTTATGTTTCTGGACATGTGCTAGCTCCACTGAACAGCCTAGGTTTGGCAAGAACTCCAGCAAAACTAGAAAATAAGTAGTGCCAGTACACTCGAACTCTCAGGTAGCCCTGAGAATGGCAGGCTACTAATTTCTGGGGGCTGCGAAAAGACCTCCTGAGAAAGCACCTGTTCATTTTAGAAGAGGCAGGGATTCTTTGACCCCCAGTGTCACCTCTAGATAAACCCCCTTCCGTCCTCGCTTTGGGAGGGAACTGAGGAATGTGATTTAGGGAAGGCCAGCAACACCCTGCCGCACCAGCTGCCGCCAAATCCTAATCGGAGTTTCCGGAAAGCAGGGAGCAGCCGATGGAGGGGAAGGGAGGGAAGCAGGGCCGTGCGTGAGCCGGGCTGGCAGGGAAGTACAGCACCCCGGGCCCCCTCCCAGCCCCGCTCCCCCAGCGCATCCCTCCGGGCACAGCCGTGCACCCCCGCCCCCCCGCCACATCTCCCGGTGCGGGGACGCCTCCGATGCGTCCGCCCGCCGCAGATCTCCTCCCTCCGTTTCAGTCAGTTCAGCCGGATTTTATTTTTTTTTTAGCCTCCGAGTTGGTTTTTTTTTTTTCTTTTCGTTTGTTTGTTTTTAATCTATTTGGAAATACAGGAGCAGAGGGCGGGCAACCACCCAGTGACTCTCCACAGCCGCCCCCAACCGCGGGGAGAGAGGCGCTCGCAGCCGCCACCGCCCCGCTCCCGTCACTCCTCATCCCGGCACGGAGCGGGGAAGCCGCGGCTGACGGAGGTAGGTTGGGATGCGGCGGGGGGGGGCCGGGGGATCCCTGGATCGGGGACCGGGCTGAGGTGAGGGGATGGGCGCCTGCCACCCCGGCCGTCGAGGCGGGGGCGTTGCTCTGTCTCTCCGCCGTTTTTTGGGGGGATACCTCGGGGTATTCCCGCAATTCATAATCGTCGTGTGAAGGTTTCCCACCCAGGACTGCGGTGACCTGAGGGAAAGCTCCACCCGGAATTTTGGGTCCATGTGCTTATTTTTACTTAATTTCTCCTCTGAAGGGAGGCATGTGAAACCTCCTCGAAGGTTTTCATCGTGGGGTTTAAAATGCTGTGGTGTTTTGGGTTTGTTCTGTTGTTGTTTTTTGGGGTTTTTTTTCCAGCACTTGAAACATTCACCAGTCGACCTCGTCTGAAATGATAACGTGTTTGTATCCATCAGGTTATAGTGTGAAGAAAGATACATATGGTGCTTGCATACGCACTCTACGAACAAACAGGTCTGTATCTAAAGTAAATGGCTTGATGTTTCAAGTAACTCGGGAAAGGGAATTTCAGCATATAATATGCACAGTCATTTTTACAAGTGTGCATTTAACTTAGTTAAAATGTTGTTGGCGTGAAGAAGTTGCTTCCATTTTCCTTTCCAGGCGAGAATTCCTTTTGCTTGCAGGTAAGGTGTAGAAAGTGATCCTTCCGATGTGCTCCTGTGTGGCACAGCGTACTTAAATGGGTATGGAAAATATGTATTTATGCTATTTCTTGCTTCAGGAGGATGTTGTTTTAATAGTGGAATGCAACTGCTTTTTGATACTCCATTAATGTCTTTTAATTGGTTTTTTGCCAACAAGTGTGCAATTTTTGCCAACAAGTGTGCAATGATAGCAAGAATTCCTTACCTTACAACTCTGTTTAGTATGTGGAGTGAATGAACTCCTGTCTGGTATCTCTGTGGAATTTCTTGAATGGGCAAGTATGACTGTATTGCCTGGTATGTATGTGAGTCTTAGATGAGTGTAGCTGAATGTAAACACAGCCCTGTGCTTCTGATCCAGTTATGTGGCAAGATAGCAAAGCTGTCAACTGTGTGATGACTTAACACGGACGGGGACTGTAGGTGTCCTTTTGATACACAGATTCACGATTTACAAATTATCTCTGATGAAATTGTCTTCATTGCCAATGGGACAAGATTGCATGAGGAATGTTTTAAGGGATCTGCCCGTACCTGTCATTTTTGAAAAGAGAAATCATGTGTGATGAAGACAAATCCCAGTACCAGGGAAGCACATGAGAAATTCAACAAACCAAGATTTCTCTTTGCTTTTTACAAACAGATGCAGCAGAAAATATTTAAGCAGTCATGAGTTTAGTGTTAATAGTCTAAGAGTTATTACTGCTTTCCTTTTTAGTAATGCTTTAGTTTTTCAAAGAGTCATTTGCCCTGAGTGTTTTTTCTTTGATGATGACTTATTTTTTTCCAGCACTGAACAACAGTGCTTTGATCCTGGAGTGACTGGTATATATTAGGTTGCAAGTATAGTTCCCTTTCAGTCACTTTACAATTATGGATATATCCTTGTACAATTGAAAGCTAAAGAAAAAGACTTTACTTCCTAAAGTATTTTATCCAGATGGTTATTCATAAATGTAGTTAAATGTAGTTAAAAATCTGCTGTCTCTCTTCAGAAATGAATTGATCTGTATAAATACTTCTAATTAGTATGCCCTGACATCATCTGCAGGTTACAGTGTAGGTGTTCACATATTTTCTAATAGTAAAAGAAAGATTTCATTCTACCATTTATACATCGTGAACATGATGTTTGAATGCCTCAGGATAGTAAAACAATGAATAGAATTAAATGAATCACCAATGTGGCTGGTAATTTTCTCTTAAAACTGACTGATGATTAAGATAATAAAGCTATTACCAAGCCAAGAAAGAAAGTTCTGGAAGGATAGATAGGCAGTTAACAGGGAGACCATATGGATTTAGAAAAGGGAGTTAATGAGTGTAAAAATGATGGTTTGGAAGTGAGTTGTGTCAGACTGAAACAAAGAGTTTCCAAAAGCCAATCTGAGTTAGTTTTCACAAAAGAAATAGCAAGAACTAGGAAGAAAAGAAGTGGGCAAAGCTCAGTGGGAAGCTAGTACATGAAGAAAAATATTTCATTCTTTTTTGAATGTGAACAAAGATGTTGGACCATGGGTACACAGGCTGAAAAACCCATGGGGTTTATAAAATGGAAACTGTGTGAGGAAGCATTTGTTCTGCCTTCTCCCTCTGGCTCTGGTTGGAGCTAAGGGGAAGACCATGTGTTGCAGGTACAGTGGGGCTCATCCAATGTGCTCTGGCCATGGACTTTAGACCACCTTTAAGCTCCTGTCCTCAGGACAGGTTGGCATTGGCGATTCCTGGAATTGCTGAGCAGCCACTGGTATATTCTACTGTCAGTATGGAAGAATTAGGAGTTGGGAGTCAGGAAAGATCATGCTAGGTTAAGTTGATATTTCTATGCCAAAACAAATGTTTTGTGAAATGAGAAAGAGAGAAAAGTTCTCTTTGTTTTCCTCTGACACTTCTAAGCTTGCCATCTCCCACCAGCTGCCTCTTTCCTCCTCAACCCCTGTGGAGCATAAGGATTTTTGGTATGTGGATTGCCAGTATTCGGAGGTACCGAATGCCCTCTTGACGTTAAGAGCTGTCTGGTCAGGGACATAGAAAATTAAAGGATGAACAGAAATGATAGGAAACCTAAACCACATTTGAATTCTAGGAAACTTTTCTAGAGGATACGAACATATAAATAGCCTTGTCATTAGTATGCATGTTTCATGTCACCTTTGGGTTTGTCCAACATGACTATGCTAGATTTACTTAGATTTAGCAACTTTTCATCACAAAGTCTTTGAGTTAAACTGTATTTTTTATGTAGTGCAGAGTGATAATAATAGGTTCCACATTAGTATGCACACATTTTTCATGAGCAGTTAGTAGACAGATGCCTACTTTAATGTTCTTAAAACCTCTTTTTTGCTGAAGCAGCTTGTATCTCTTATAGACACTGACCTTGCATCTCTGGCAGAAACACCAGCTGCACTCAGCAGCCTGCATCGTTGTGTCTACACGGCTGTGGTTGTGTCTGTGTTGTAGGATCACATGGCATCGTTGAGTGTGCACTAGCCCCAGCCTGCCTGCCCGCTGCTTGCATTTCCTGAGGCGTGGGAGATGGTGAGCATGCATCTACATGTAGGCACTGTGGAAAATGAGCAGACCAAGGGTGAAATCTGGCATCATTAGCATGACAATACAGACACAGCCCTTCTAGACAATAAGAAGTTAGTGGTTGCAAAACACCAGGCAGCTCCTGAGGAGAAGACAGAATTTTCATGTAGTATAATCTAGTTGATGTAATGAGATTTTATGAGTCTCAGCTGATTCAGGTCTTCAGGCTTTAAGACAGAATCGCTGAATCCATTCACATTCCTTAAGTGTTTTTTCCCTTTTTGTTGTTGCAGGATGCTCACCAGAACCCCAAGTGTTGTTGCCCAAGTGTTACTTTTTCTAAGCATAGTTCTTGTCATTGCTATTGCAGTGATTCAGATAAATCAGCAACAGATCCTCTCCCCAGGGCTTAAGGTAAGTCTTAGAATACCTCAGGAAGGAGAACAATGTTTTTACTGATATTTAATTTAATGTGCCTTTCTAAACTAATTTTTATGGCTTGAGCCATAAAAATGAGCTTACTACCATAAATTAATGTTCAAACACATTTTTGTCATGGGAAAACTGAATCTGAGAGAAAAGAAGAATTGGTCAAGAGTCAGTGGCAAAGGAGGAACTTGATTCCCTCTCTGTGATTCCCTCATATCACACAATGTCTTCTCCAAGACTGAAAGACCAAATGAGGAAAATATCTCATGCCTTTTTTTATTTTTACCAGAGCCTGGAAGTAATTTTAAAATAATTTAAAATTGAAGTGGGCAATACCCAGAGTTTAAATTCTGCCCCCAGGCACAGTTGGAAAGTTTATGCTGACATCTTTGCAAACTGCTCCTATGTACCAAAAGCAGTTGGTTTTGAGTGCGCATTTCGTGATTTGTCACATGTTGGGACCTGCTGGATATTAAAAGAAGCAAAGTAGCTTCATGAAGGGCGGCAGATCAAACTGGAAAAGACAAACTGAAATACTCTGAAGTTCAGGCTTTCCTTGCTCCTGAAACACGTGTGCAGATTCTTCAATGAGAGATGTATACAACTGAGGGCAAAACTGTAGAAATTACCCTTACAGGGAAGCTGTGCAGTCTGGCATTTTGAGTTCTGTTTTTTTCCCACGATCCTCTTGTTAGATTCTTCTTTGAAGTCCTTTCTGCCTTTCCATCTGCATGTATATTTAACTGGTAGTTCACATACTGATAGCGATAGGCTATGCCTCATTACACTTCGTGGGATTATGAACACCTTTGGCTTTATCTGAATCATTTGGTGGTGTGTGAGTCAGACAATGGGATAAAACTGTATTCTGATACCCATTTTATGTGTTTGTGTGATGTGGCAGGGTGTGTGTGCTGCGATCTTGCATGGGGACACAGTGCCTCAAGTATATGTTCTGTTGTACCCCAAACTGCTGCTTGCAGCAGCCTTACATCCCACCAATTTTTGTGCAAGGCAAGACTGGACTAATGTGCATCCCAGCTGAAGCAAGGACAAGGCTGAAGCCACAATCTAAAAGACAGCCTACACATCTCTTGTGTTTGTCATTAACTCAGTTTCACATCCAGAAGGATAAAACTGCTTACATTACTCTTTGAGGAAACATTGGAACCACCTTACTAGCTGGAGCTGGTTTAGGAGTAGAGGTCTGCTTACTGTCTCACAACAGCTTTATGGCTGGCTCTAGAGGAAGACTGGTGGTTCCTCTACCGGGTGTGCCTTGGCTTTGAATTTTGTTTTGGGCTCTAAGCCTACTAATGCAGGGGATACGGAGGACCCTGTGTTTGATTCTTGAGACGCTTCGTAGTCCTCAGTGGATGATTAACACTCACAAGAAATAGTTCTTCAGGAGCAGAGGGAGGACCTTTGTATATGTGAAACCCTCCAGTACCTGATTGATATGATGGAGCCTGGAAATAGGAGTGTCCTGACATTAATGGTTGATTAAAATTAAATACAGCAACAACACGATGTAAACAGACTTACTCTTTGTAAATGGCCTTGTTCTTCTCTTGGTAACTCTCTGTGTTATCTGTAGCATATGAGCTCTTTCCCAGGATGTACATTGAGAGTGTCCATTCTGGCACAAGAGGTAAATTACCTGCTATGCCACTGATGTTTTAAAGTGGTGTTGCAAAATTAAATATTTTGGTTCCTTGGTGGTTGGGTTATCTGAAGACTGAGCCAATGATTTGTGAAGGAAGGGTCTGACCAGGTGCATGAGGCTGGGGCACTGAAAGAACTCATGACTCACTGACACACCATGAAGTCAGAAGAATGATGAAGAGAGTACAGACATCCTTAGTGACATAGTTTGTGGAGAAGACTGGAATTGTAAATGAAGCTAGCTCAGAGTGTAATGAGCCTTTGTACTGGTAAAAAAAATTTGTCTACTGATTTTTTGTGAGTCCTGATGAAAAAAACCCCCACACCTTTATTATCGTATTTTTCTTTAAATTGCCTCTCCAGGCATTTTACACCTAAATTTCTACATCTAAATTTTTCACATCTCTTTTGACTCTTAGGAAGTATTATGCCTTGTTTGTGGATGTTATACTTGATCAAAAATTGTTAAAGCCTATGTAGCTGAATTGAAGTGTGCTTCTAGTATAAGTCCACTTCTGTGGCCTCCATCTTTCCTGTAATTGATTTAGCTTGTTAGCTTCTCTTGGCAGTTTTCAAAGTGATTGGAAGGCAGGTGAGCCATCATAATTGTGCCTGCTTTAAGGCTTTGTGCATCTCTACATCCTCCTATGGGTATAGTGTTCAGGCTGAAGAGGTGATTAATCCTGGGTCTTGTTGCTTCTGTGTTGGGATTACTGCTCTTCAGGATGTACCTTGCAAAGCCATTCATATGAATATCCCTTGTATGTTTGGGCCACAACCAGACTGGTTGAGTGAATAGCACGAAACTGCCCCAGAAACAGTGTAGGTAGTTATCACTCACAGTGGTAGCTCTGCAAGTAGGAGTACCCTCGTGGAAGGGAAAGACGAACAGTAGACAGTGGAACAGGTAATTGTGTCTTTAGTCAGCCCAGCTGCAGCCAAAAAAAAAAAAAAAAAGAGATGTATGAGTGCACCTTTAAGACACAAAGTCTGGTTTATTGTTACCTTGCCTTTTGTTTAGTTTCTGTTAAGTGTGTAGAGTAGTCAAAGTGTTCTGCCAAACCCAAGAGGCAAGATGGTGCATTTACTTCATGCTGTAGGCAGCGTGGTCACCTCTGTGTTGGAGGTACATGAGGCAACAGTAAACCCCATAAAAAAGCATTTTCCTTAAGGTCACTTTTCCCCCTCTTCTTTCTTCCTTCTACTAGACTAGAAAACAGAACAATGAAACTTTTCTGGGTTAACGTCATCTCTCTGTTTTGTCTGACTAATCTATTCCATTCCATTATCTTCCAGCTCTACCTGGGCATGACAGTTAGCTCTAAAAGTAGCTAAGTTAAAAGCTTATGGTTGGCACTTTGAGCTGACAGAGACTAGATTTAATTAATACCCCTTGAGCAGATTGACCATTACTGTGTTATGTACCTTCAGAGTGCTCATCTCTCTTCCAAGGAGGGGGAATACACTCAAATTATCTTTTGATAAAGTAGTTACTGAAGCAGAACCTGATCATGTAGTGGTTTGACAGTATCTGTGGAGCCTTTCATCTTTTGGTGGATCAAGGTAAATATTGTCTGCATAAACATAAATGAAATTTTCATTACCTTACAGTTCCCCATGAAACAGACTAGACTGGTATTGCTAGTGTTGTTTGGGGGCCTGGAGTTTGTAGGATTACAGTAGAGGCTGGGAACTAATCAGGCGTGGAAGCTGAATGGTTTGCCACCTAAAGCAGTGATCTTTCTCGGTTAGACTTGAGGCTCCTGAGGGAGGCGGTGGGATGAAATTTATCAGCCTACTACAGGGCTGTTACTGCTTTCCAGCCAGACGGAGGGGAGGCTCTCATTTTTCAGTATTGTCAGGCTCCTGGGCATCTGCTTGTTTTAAAAGAAAAAATGTTAACAGAGAAATGAACTTTGCACTGTGTGACTCCTACCAGTTGGATGACGTTGGAAGAGAGGGGCAGCTTAACATACTATCAAGGATCCTAAAGAGGTTAAGCAAAATTTCAGTTTTCTTCCCTTCATGAGATTGCCTTCCCAGCTGCTACAGTTTTCTGCTGTCATAAAATATGGGAAAGGGGGAAAGACTGGTCAGGTGAGCAGTGGGATGGGATGAAGAAACCTGTGCTTTAATCCCACAAAGAGTCCAACAGACCTGGGGCAAGTAATTTAACTCTTTCTGGTTTATTTCATAAATAATCACAGTGTAATATTAATTCTCTACTCTTTGTTGACTCACATTCTAGCACTGCCTGTTCTCAGAGGCAATCTCTAAGGGGGACTGCCTAAACCACTCAAAGGGAGAGGCTTATGGGGCAATTAGAAAAAAGCAGGCTTGTTACATCATTCTTACTGTCGACTGTTGTGTACTTTACCTCTTTGCTTGTAGCTTTATGGATCTCTTGTGCATCCCTGAATCTAAAGCCTGTGCTTAGGTATCAAACCCTTCAGTGTTCCAGAGAATGGACTGGGATAATGGGAAATGAACTTCCTGCAAAATCAGGTTCTAACACAGTGTAAGATATCTATGTGTCAATGTGGATTTTTGAACCTGATGCTGAAAGGAGATGAGCATTCTCCATCCCTGCTGAATTAATTATTGAAGATATGTAGCATGTTCTTTGGTTTGCAGCCAGATTCATTCTGTGCTTGGCTGTTGGATTCACGCCTAAGCACCTAACACTATAATTAATCTGTCTTGTAAATAATACCCTGTGCATGCATTTTCTAAAGTGTTTGGTGGTGCAATGAAGTACAGCTGCATATGGGTATTTAAGCTGTCACTGTTTGTTTCTTCATCTAATGTCTTATTTTTTTTCTCTCCAGTATGGAATAGTCCTTGATGCTGGATCCTCTCGAACTACAGTTTATGTCTATGAATGGCCAGCAGAAAAAGAAAATGACACAGGAGTAGTAACCCAGACCTTCAAGTGCAATGTGAAAGGTGAGCTCAAATGGAAGTTCCTCATTTTTTTCTAGCCTCACTTACACTGGTTTTTTTTCTTTTTCCCCTGTGTTCCCTTTTCAGTGCTGGGGAGTGAGAACTGTTAAGACTATGTCTATGTCTGTCAGCATTAGTTCTTTTCCTACTGATAGAGCAGGATCCTCTAATCATTGTAACAGAGAGAGGAAATTATGGCTAAACTTGATTTACTTCATTGCAGTGCACGAGCAGCGCAGACAGAATTCAACCTACAGAGAATCAAGACCTATAAATGTTTAGTCCTTGTGTTTCTTTAAAATAAGAGTAAAAAGTATATTTTAAAATAGCTTGGAATAAAAAGTGTTTGAGAAGAATGGGGATCTAGCCCTTGTTAGATGCTAGTCATTAATTAAGTTTCTCCATATTACAGAACTAGGAAGTATCTAATAGAGTTATCAAGTAAAATAGTTAAATTGGCAGAACAGTTTGTGACAGGAGAGTTGTATCAATTATGTAGGTCTGGCCTTCCACTCAGGGAGTCCTGTAGCTGTGTGCTGCTAGGTGGTGTCCCACAGGTACCACTGGCTCCCTGCTTTGTCTTTTATCTGAGGTTTTGAGTTGATTCCTTGCAGACAGGCTAGGCTGACTTTTGCTCATACTGCTTATACTTAACCAGTATGGTTAAGTATAAGTTCTAATGGCTTGTGGGTTCCTTCCTAACGGCTTTTGAAACTCTTAGTCAACTTCAGTGACGTTTGAGTAAGTTTTCAAAGATACAAAAATTCCATACATTTTGTGAAGACAGATGGCCAGGCAAGGGAGAGAAATCTCTTATTAAATAGTAGCTAATCCATAAGGGATTTCTGCAGGAAGCCAAACATTGTAAGTTATGCTACTTTCAGTTAAATGAGCTTTAGATTATCCTTTTACAACACTGACTTTGTTTCGTGTACTGATTTGGGTTTGCAAGTTTGGTAAGAGGAGATGGTGGGGCATTTTAGGAACCTCAATGCAGTTTTTTTGATCTCTGATAATAACTGTGGCATTCTGAGAGAATTTTTTCCTTCTGTCTCAGTCATGATCTCACAAAATCTTGCATTCCTCTTTGTGTCTGGAAATAGATGCTGGAGATGTAGCCACAGAGGCCCATGAGTAACTAGGAGTAGAAGGCAATGGTTTCTTAACAGCACCAACATTTTCATCTTCAGCATTAAATATATGTGTGGACATTCTTAGTGGGTTTTGAGCAAGGAAAGGAAAGTAAGTGTAACAGGAACAGAAGTAATGCACTGTTGGCGTCTCTGATGATGTGTCCTTACAGACTGCTGGAATGGTGAGGGGTACATTCTGCTAGTTCATGTCTTGTCTCATTAGAAATGTTGCATTTAGGAATTCTGGTGTGAGAAAAATGAACAGAGAAACTGCATTTTTCTTTTTCATGAAAAATGACACAGGAGTGCTTTGTGAATTTGTTTTAATTGGCTTAGGTTTTGTTCTGCCTCAGGGGAATACAAAAAATTGCAAAATGGAGGAGTCCAAATTGCTGTGAACTGTTTAGGTCTATGACCTTAACCATGGTCAACCAAAGTGCTCCTCATCTTCCAGTGTACAAAATCACCAGGGTGTACTCTTTTAGTGTTGGATAACTCTGCACTGGAAGAGGCAGAGGGTTCATGCGAGAGGTCCCCAGCTAATCTGTGGGTGACAGTGGTGAACACATCTGTCAGGGTTTCTTTAGTGACCCAACTGTAGCCTTAAATTGGGGGATGGTTGTGGGCATACTGAGAAGCAGACTTTTTTTATACCTACTGAACTTTGAAGGTCAAATGATCAACTAGTCTGTAAGTTCTGTGGTGGTTTTGTGATTTCATTTCTACCTTTATTAGGTACCTCTACCCCTGTGTGTAGGAACCAACCCCGTATCAAACCCCTTTCTATATAGTGCAGTTGATCTGTCCTAGTAAGGCTCTAAGCATGGGCAAAGCAGGCAGTCCAGAACAAAATGGTCACTGCCTCATGACCTGCTCTGTCTGAACACTGGAAGATGGAAGTTGCTGCTACCAAGGAAGTGTGAGGCCACAGCAGCTGCTGAGGATCTAAAACAGCATTTGCTGCTCTGTTTTCCTCTGGTAACAACTTTTAATCCAGCTTCAGGCCTGTTTGTGCTAGACTTAAGACTTTTAGCAAGTCTTACTCCAAAACCAGGGCTGTGAATGTCTAATGATTGCGTGATAATGTTTAAGTTCATAGTGTCAAAAAGGGAGTTGTGGAGTGTGGAATCTGTAAAGTCTTACAATTTTTTTCTCTGTTTTTATCATTGCAATGTGACTAAACATAAATGGTTTCTCATTTTAACTCAGTAAGAGCCACCTTTTGCTTAGCTTCGGATCAGGTTGTGCAAGAGATGGCTGTGACAGGAGAAGTACATGGAGTTCAGATAGAGTTGTTCTCTGTGAGGCAATGGCTTCATGGGAATGCCTGGATTTCTCTCAGCACAACTTTCTCAGCCAGGGAATTTTAGTAAGGAATGTTTTTATTCACACCCAAGTTGAGCCTGAACAAGCTGAGATCCTGCTGGTTCTTGATATTGAGCAAGGAATATTGAGCAAGGCAGGAAAGACTTTGATGTTGATTGTTCAAATAGTTATGCCTTATGCAGCGTGGTGTAACTCTCATTTCTGCTCTTTGAAGGCTTTGGAAATTTGGAAAGCTGTTCAGTATTCATTTTTGAAAACTTTGGAAGTTTGTAAAGCTGTTTAGTAGTTCATGCACCAGTGCAGACTTGTACCTCTATGAATTCAAGAGCCATTTCTATGCATCTTGATATTTCACCAGCAATTCCTTAGAGAAACTTTTTTTATTTTATTTTCAGTTGAGAGCAGTGAGCTTTAGAGGTGCCATGGTGTCCATGACAGTTGTGACAAACCAGATTAGAAAATCCTTGTCTTAGGTTGTGAAAGGAGGGATTTTCTATACGTCAGCAGATCAGAGAAATTTTACATCCATTTGACATGCTATTTTCTACAGCATCTGCCACAAGTAAACCTATTTTCCTCATGAATATAGCACTGCTGTCATTGTGTTGTTATGTGGGTATACTGTATACCTGACTCATGGTACTATAGGTGTGTATGCACACACACACACAGAAATACAGGCAGGCAGTTTGCAAGTGTCTTCTCTGTCTCACACAGCTGAGATAGTCACTGCATTGTTTATTCCATAAGCACTCCTAGTTTTCAGCTGTCCTACCCTTGTTTGCAATTCCGGGATGGAAGGGTGAAATCTCTTTCTCTTAACACCTGTTTGCTAATTGGGCTAATTTGTAGCTGGCAAAGCAAAATGAAATCAATCTACTTGTTCTGTTCTAGGCCCTGGTATATCCAGCTATGAGAGTAGCCCTGGAGCTCTTGCCAAGCCCTTTGATGACTGTCTGAATAAAGTCAAAGAGAGAATACCAGCTCATCTGCATAAAAACACTTCTGTTTATCTGGGGGCTACAGCTGGCATGAGGCTGCTGAGGTATGGCAGAAACTTGAACTCCTCTGTATGCATACTAGCATAGCAGTTTGTGAAAACAGAACGTGAAAAATGTACTGGATGCATTTTTATCCACTGGAAATTAACCATCTCAAAAGGAAATGGAACCCAGCCAATTTAATTTAATTAACTTTTTTGATAGGGAAAGTGGCTCTGCATAAAAATCCTCTATTATGCTGCATTGAAAAGAAATGCTTGCTTTATTTTGGAGAAGGCAAGAGTTCAATTTTCTCTTTCACATCTGCTTTGAAATACATTGTTATGTAAACAGATAATGTTTTTGCGCATCCATGGGCAGCAAAGGCAGACTGAAGCTAGACACTGCAGAGTTTTCTGAGAGTAGATGTGATGTGATGTGGATCTTGGGGCCCGTCCATGGCTTTAGCCCTGGCACAAACTGGCTTTCTATATTTGTTCTCTGGCGAAACATAGTGGGAAGAAAGGTTCCAGGACTGTTTCAAATACCAGGTGTCATAAAAGTACTCAGTTCACTAAAAATAAAGAAATTAAAAATAAGAAACAAAACACCCATGAACTTCTATGATAAAGAGTAACTTTTGTACATAGTGGGGGAGTTGCTTGCTGAAAAAATGCTGGATACGTGACTGTTCCCTATCAGAAACTTCCCCTTTAGATAAACATTGTATTTTTTTTTTACTAGGTTATTACAGGAGTTTTCTTGAGTTGCTAGTCAGTGAACAGTAAACATGAAATTGCCTTTCCAGATGCTCAGTGTCTCGTGTTTTGTGAATTGCTTAGGTTGCAAAATGAATCGGCAGCCAATGAAGTCCTTGCAAGCATTCAAAACTACTTCAGAGCACAACCTTTTGAATTTAGGGGTGCACAAATCATAACTGGGCCAGAGGAAGGGGTGTATGGATGGATAACGGCCAACTATTTAATGGGCAATTTCTTAGAGGTGTGTGGAAAAAAAATGCATGCTTTTCTTTTCGCTCTTTCTCTCTTAGAAATGAGAAGCTTGAGAGGACATGCTTGTTAAAGCATCATAGTGTTGTGATTTCTCTTTTGCACGGAAATTTCTAACGGAGTCTTTTTGTGCCAGTAATAGAACAAAGCAAACATAAATCAAAGACTATGTTGTTACAGGAACGTGATATGGCAAAGGTAAAATGGCTGACACACAAAAAAGAGCTCTTCCCTAAATGACACTGGACGCCTTACCTAGAAATGAAAAGTTAGATTGCCCTTAAATGCATTGGTATGTTAAGTGTGATGGGTGTTGATTGTCTTGACAGTGGTGCCAGCTAAACATGTTCTCTTCTGCTTTTCTGTGACTTCCTTGGGTGGTTGTTGTCCTTGCAGCCCTACTGGTGAAGGACGTGCACAGCTTAGGGAGTCTCCAAATTGTTTGGAAGTGTTGTCTTACTTGTCTTAAGCAGACGAGACTGTTTGAAGCACTGAAGGTGGTTAAGTTGATGTGGCCAAATGTGCCTCAGCTGAGCCAGAAATCATTCATACAGAGTTCATTCCAATACTGCTGAAAAGCTGCAGGCTATGGAGCAGTAGGCTGCGATACCAACTGTCTTGTACAGACCAAGTGATACCAATATAGAGATACTTAAGCTGGCCTTGAACTTGGAATAGGGTCAGGCAGCAGACTCATAGCTGGGAGGTAGTCGAATGTGTTGGAAGATCCCTTTTTATATGCAGATATTCAGTATAATTTCATTCAGAGTAAAAGCTGTACCAATTTGATCAGCAACTGCTCATCTGCATTCCTGGCAGGAGTGTGCTGCCCTTAGCTTTAACTGCACTTATTCCAGATTGCCTCGCTAGGCTGAAAGAAATTTCAACCAAACTGCTGACTATTGTTAAGCTGTCCTGGTTGAATGGCTCCTGTTAGATCATGGCCATTAAATAAGCAGGAATTACTTGTTGGTGCTGTGAGTGATAGCTCACGGTTGAATGTGTTGCTGACTTGCAAAGTTAAGAAAAACAGTACTGGAATCACACATTCTGGAAGCGTTTTTCTCGTGTGCATTTCATGCAGCAAAAATGGCATCATGAACTTCAGGGTGGTGTCAGTCTTCTACCACATGAATTTTAATAATCCAAATGTCAAATTCCTATAGCAAATTCATAAGGACTACTGAATGGACTGCAAAAAGCTGTGAAACCAGTTTAGTCTAGAGAGTTGTGTGAAGAGCTACGTGTGGAATATCACTAGTAGGAGAGAGAAAATTTCACCTTTCTTGTGACAATGAGCTAAGATTTAAGTTCTGCTAGGGGCTGTTTATGGGAATCTTTCACTGTAGAATTTTATTGTGAGTATATTTGCTAGCCTATAAACTTTCTTTTCTCTTCTTGTCTATACATTCATCTCATCATGCTCAGTGAGTAATACTACATTAAGTCTATATTTGGCACTGTAACTATCAAATACGGAACTTGGGAAATGTTTTGGGCAATAGGGAGAAATGCCAGATGAATGGATCAGATTTATTGCCACTGCAGTTTCAGTGAAGGAAATATGCAGATTAGGGGTCCTCATTCTTTTAACTTTGATGGAGCTTTCATTTGACTTGTCTGTGTTTTGCACTTTATTTTCACTCTTCTTCTATGTGATCTCTTAATTATTCTGTTCCTTTAATATTTCTTCTTGCCTTGAAACAAGCAAATCTGCATGCTATTTCCACCCAGATTTGTTCAAGATCTCATGGGTATCTGAACTTCAAATCCCTACATTCTGGGATAAACATTGATCTGGCTAGTTCTATGCTTTGATCATTGTGCTGTCCTGTTGAGTTAAACTATATGTTGCATTCCTTTTTCTATCTTTCAAGACCATTTCACTCTGTGAAAGTACATCCCTCTTGTGTAAAAACATCTGCATGTTTTCCTCAGAGAGCTATGATTTTTTGGAAAGGGTGCAGGACAAAGACGGGGAAATCTCAAAAACTTAAGTAAAGAGTAGAAAAGCTTGAAGGGAGGACAGGAGATGACATTTCTAATTTGTCTTGGTTTTATATTGACATGTAGAGAAATCTTTGGAGAACATGGATCCATCCTTACACAAAAGAAACTGTGGGTGCACTGGATCTTGGAGGAGCTTCTACTCAAATTTCATTTATCCCAGAGGACTCTCAGGAGCACTTCAATAGCACTTTGCAAGTGAAGTTGTATGGTTATAACTACAATGTCTACACTCACAGCTACCAATGCTATGGCAGAGATGAAGCTGAGAAAAGGCTTTTAGCATTGCTGCTCCAGGTCAGTTTAAGACCCTTTGCTATGTTGCTCTTGCAGGTGTTCAGTAATTATCTGAGCAGGTTCTTAGGCTTGTGTTCTCTTTCCTTTGATGGCATTTGGAGACCCCAGTAAGAGCTCTGTTGTGCTTTGTTGTGGACAAATACACTTAGATTTCATACAAAGGTCTTCATATTTGTTAAAAATTGGTGAGAGTTCTATACCATTGACAAAAAGGCCTGTAAGTGTTTTGCTGATGTTGGCAATGAATTTTTGAGAAAGGAGTTTCTATGAATTACAGTGATCATCAGTGTTTTACTGACTAGTCATGACAGTGAACAAAAATACATGCATATGCAGTTTTAAAGGATTAGTTAATGTCAAATTAGGTCTTTCTTGCTTTTTAGTAGTCATTATTGTTTGGGGTTTCTTGTGGTTTTGTTTTTTTTCCCCCAGAAATCAAATGCCAGTTCCAGTGTGGATAATCCATGTTACCCTCAAAACTATAATACATCATTAACGATGAAGTACTTCTCTGGCAGCCTTTGTACACAGTCTCTGAGACCAGCAAATTACTACCCAAACCAGCCTGTGAATTTCCATGGAACAGGAGACCCAGGTCTGTGCCGCGAGATGGTTTCTTTATTGTTTAACTCCACTGCTTGCAGAGACAGAGAAGACTGTCCTTTTAATGGAATGCATCAGCCAAAAGCTAAAGGGAATTTTGTGGTAGGTTTGCAAACACAGCATTTCTTTTTGAGCTTTATTGCTTTTGATTTCTGTAGTTCTGAAAGTAACCTATCATCTATTCCCTTTTTATAGGCTTTCTCTGGATTCTACTATACAATTAATGCTTTGAATTTATCTGGGCACTTTTCCCTGGATGACTTCAATTCAAGTATGTGGTTTTTCTGTTCACAGAGCTGGACACAGGTAAGTGGGTTATTTGTTTGTTCTTTGGGGTTCTTGGGGTTTTTCTTTTCCTTTTTAAATCTGTAAAGGAGGGATATAAAAATAACATGGACTGGAGAAGCATTCAGAACCTTTCAGAGGGTCTGTACCAACCTCAGCATTTGTTTTTCCATTGTGCTTCGAACCACGTAGTATTTCTGACATGCTTATCACTTGGACTAGGTTTCAGAATTTCATTTCACAGTTTTAACAATGCTGTAGAGATGACATGCAAAATTTAGAAACCATAACATCCTCAATCTTCAATGTGCAGTTTGATGTTTATTTTCATTGCTTGCTACATAAGCTGTGTGACTGTTAGAGGCTTTCTGAATCTCCGTATCTAGTTGTCTGTACCTTTACTTGGGGTTTCTAAAAAATGCTACTGAATTCTAATTGGAATCCAAATATTCTCTAGTTACAAAATCTAAAAACATTTGTTTTTTTCATAATCTACATGTTTTTTTTGAAAAACCTTTGGTTTCAGCTCCAGTTTATGCTGCCTAAATTTGAAGAAATATATGCTAGATCCTACTGTTTCTCGGCAAATTTCATTTATTACTTGCTTGTACATGCTTACGACTTTAATGCAGAAACTTGGCCACAGATACATTTTCAAAAGCAGGTGAGTAATGTACATTTTCTCTTACTGTTATTTTAGTGCAAAGAAGTT